ATAAGTCCCTTCAAGGGTTTTCTTTTCGGTTCTTTCCCTTGACGCCTTTTTTGAACCGACAGGGTAGACTAGGGTTAGGGTTTCAACAACTATAAATAGCGGATGTAGTCTTCTTCTTCCATGATCACATAATCAAAACCCTAATTTCCTATTGGAGTACGAAGGCACTCGAAGCCCTTCCCCACTTTTACGTATCAAAGTGCTCTCGTTGAGAGGACATGACAGACGCATCGTCCACCACGACCGAACTCGACGCTAGGGTTCGCGAGATGGGACACGCCATGGTGCAGATGCAGAGGGATCTGGAATACCGATTCGAGCGGCTGGACGCAGCTCTGGCCACCATCCAGACTGCCGTCGCTGGCTTCCAGGCAGGGGGCGGCGGACGGGCAAGACGGCACCCGGAGCACCACGACAGAGGCGGGGGATTTCACACGCCGAAGCCCTAGCTTGAGCCGCCCAAGAGTGATGGCGTGGAACCCTTGCGGTGGTTATATCAGGTACAGGAGTATTTTGCCTACTACGAAACGCCGCCGGAGGAAAGGTTACGATGCGTAACGATGATGCTCGAAGGACAGGCAGCTGATTGGTTTCGATGGCATCGGAACAATGGCCTAATCACGGATTGGGATGACTTTGTACGGAAATTCAAGTTAAGGTTCGACCCGCTTCATTATGTGGACTACGTGGGTCAATTAGCATGGGTCCGACAGACAGGAGGAGTCATGGAGTACCAGGCCACTTTCGAGAAGGTCCTCACCCACGTCACCGACGTCCCCGAGCCTTATCTTCAGTCATTATTTCATGCAGGCTTGAAGAACCACCTGCAACACGAGATATGTTTACTCAAACCTGAGACGTTACGTTATCGGAGTCCTTTGCGTTGGCACGGGAATTGGAGGCAAAACACCAAGCCATCGTGCATTCGGTAGGGTTGAAGAGTTCGTCGTGGGGTACCAACTTCAATCGTGGCAATCCTAGCCGGGCCGTGTCAGAAGGATCCGCTGGGTCAGTAACCAAACCAGCCCAGAACAGCAGCGGGGTCAAAACTACATTCAAGGGGCGAGAGTCCTCCAACACACCACCCATCAAGAGCCTCACCAGAGCCGAACGTTTGGAAAAAGACGCGAAAGGTTTATGCTATAATTGCGACCAAAAGTGGCACAAGGGACATAAATGCGGGCGATTCATTCTGATCATGGGTGAAGACGATGGGGAGGAGGAGGAACCCGAAGAAGCTGAAGAAATTGAGGTCGCCGCCGACATCTCGAGTTTGAACAGTATGTCGGGGGTCACCACTCCTCGGTCCCTGCGACTCACGGGCAAGATTGGGCAATAGGGGCTGGATGTTTTAATCGACGGGGGAAGCACGCACAATTTCGTGCATCCCCGTACGGTGGAAAAATTAGGGCTGAGTTTGGAGAGAGTGGCAGCGTTCCGAGTCTACGTCGGAAACGGTGACTCACTTTGCTGCACCCAACAATGCCGGAACGTCGCCTTAGAGCTGCAAGGCACGACCTTTTCAGTAGACCTGTATGTCCTCCAAATCCACGGGCATGATGTGGTCCTAGGCGTCCAATGGTTGAGGGGTCTGGGGCACGTCCTACACGACTACGAAAAGGTGACAATGGAGTTTTCCTGGGGAGAGCATACAGTGACACTACGGGGGAATGCAGTGGTCCCTAAGCAAACCTCATTGCACCACTTGCGGGCCTTGCATGCACGACAAGAGGTAGATGCCGGAATTCTTCTCATGGTTGCCGAAGCCGAAGACACGGAAAAGGGAGAGTCTGGAGCGTTTCGATGCAGTGCGACACACGAGGGGCTGCCGAGGGGAATTGCAGCGCTCCTGGAGCGTTTCGATGAAGTGTTTAAGGAACCTCAGGGCCTGCCTCCACATCGTACAACCGATCACCGGATCTATTTGCAACCAGGCGTAGCTCCGGTGAACGTACGAACCTACCGGTATCCACATTTCCAAAAGGAGGAAATCGAGCAGCAGGTGAAGCAAATGCTTGAACAGGGTATTATTCGTCCAAGTCGGAGTCCGTTCTCGTCACCGGTGCTATTGGTGCGAAAGAAAGATGGGACGTACCGGTTTTGTGTGGACTATCGCGCGTTGAATACGGTGACGATCCCCGATCACTTCCCCATCCCTACGGCTGACGAACTGTTCGACGAACTCGGCAAGGCGCGGGTGTTCACCAAGTTGGACTTGCGCTCGGGATACCACCAAATCCGAATGAATGACCGAGACAAACACAAGACCGCCTTCCGGACGCACGAGGGACATTATGAGTTCTTGGTCATGCCGTTCGGCCTCACCAACGCCCCATCAACCTTTCAAGCTTGCATGAACCAATTATTCGCCTCTTATCTTCGTCGTTTCCTGATCGTGTTCTTCGATGACATATTAGTCTATAGCCCATCCGTGGAGGAGCATCAACAACACTTAGAACAGGTATTCACCCTCCTCCGCAATAGCCAGTTCTACATCAAACGCTCGAAGTGTACATTTGGGGCGGAACAGGTTGAGTATTTGGGTCATATCGTCACCAGTGGGGTTTTGAAAGCCGATAAAACTAAAATCTCAACCATGGAGCAGTGGCCCCGGCCGAGAACCCTACGGCAGTTAAGGGGATTCCTCGGCCTCACCGGGTATTACAAGAGATTTGTACGCCACTACGCCCAGATAGCCGCACCACTCACAGACTTGCTTAAGAAGGACGCGTTTGTGTGGAACGAAAAGGCCGACGCTGCATTTGAAAAACTGAAAACAGCCATGACAACAGCTCCAGTCTTGCGATTGCCGGATTTTTCCCAGAAGTTTGTGGTGGAAACAGACGCCTCCGGAACCGGTGTAGGTGCGGTGCTCCTTCAACAAGAGCAACCCGTCGCTTATTTCAGCAAGAAGCTGAGTCCCAATCGGTTAGCCGCCTCCACCTACCACAAGGAGCTCTACGCCATCGTAGAGGCGGTACAACGTTGGCGGCAGTATTTATTGGGGCGAGAATTTCTAATTCGCACCGACCACCAGAGCTTGTGGGAGTTATTGCAACAAGTGATCCAAACACCGGACCAACACTTTTACATTCGAAAACTTTTGGGGTATCAATTCAAAATTGAGTACAAACCGGGGGCCTCCAACCGGGTCGCAGACGCCCTTTCACGACAAGACGAGGCCGAACAAGACGGGCAGCAGTTACTCGCCATCTCCTCTTTGGTGCCGGACCTAATGGAGGAAATCCGGCAAGAAAATACTACCCAACCAGATCTGGTCACGCGTCACCAGGAGCATGCCGAGGGAAGACTGGCCGAACCCTACACCGTGGTGGCAGGGATGCTTTACTACAAACGACGGATCTGTACATGGTCGTCCTCGGACTTACGCCACCAACTCATCCGAGAACACCATGACACACCCTTGGCAGGGCACCCGGGCACTCACCGAACTTTCCTACGGCTCGCACAGGACTTTTATTGGCCGCAGATGAGGGCTGACGTCAAGACCTACGTGCAGCAGTGCCATACCTGTCAAACAACAAAATACTCCACCCCAGCCACCTGCCGGGTTGTTACAGCCCCTACCCGTGCCAAGCCAAGTATGGGAAGACATATCCATGGATTTTATAGTAGGCCTTCCACCTTCGTGGGGCTACACAGTCATAATGGTAGTGGTGGATCGGTTAACAAAGGTGGTTCATTTGGGGGCATTACCCGCAGGGTTCGACGCTCATCGTACAGCTCACTTGTTCATTGATATTGTGGTGAAGCTTCACGGGTTCCCCAAGACAATTGTATCGGATAGGGATCGGGTTTTTCTTAGCAACTTTTGGCAAGAAGCGTTGAAGGCTAGCGGAACGACCTTGGCAATGAGTACGGTGTTCCATCCCCAAACCGATGGGCAATCGGAGGTCATGGACCGAGCGGTGGAGCAGTACTTGAGGGCGTTTGCCCAAGACAAACCCTCTCGCTGGACGGTCCTCCTGCCATGGGCAGAATACGCCCTTAACACCAGCATACATTCTGGATTAAAGAGGACCCCGTTCGAGGCTTTGTATGAGCGACTGCCACCAACGTTTTTACCATATCGCCGGGGTGATAACAAAGTGCCAGAGGTAGATAATTTTTTGCAGGAGCGGGACTCTTTACTCCGGCGCTTGCGGGAAAATTTGAAAGAAGCTCAACGACGAATGACTCAAACGGCGAACAGGCACCGCACGGATTTGAAGTTCAAAGAAGGGGATTGGGTACTGTTGAAACTGCAGCCGTACCGCCAGCATTCCGTGGTTCGTCGGAGTTCACAGAAATTAGAAAGACGGTACTATGGGCCTTATCGGGTGCTAGCACGGATTGGAGAGGCGGCCTATCGCTTGGAATTACCGCCGGGGTCACGGATACACCCCGTGTTCCATGTCTCCTTGCTGCGGCCCTACTATGGAGAGTCACCCGAGCAGGAACAACTCGCGCTACCATCCGAGTTCGTGCATGGGCAGCCCTTATCGGAGCCAGCCGGATTCTCGCCGAGCGTCAGGTTTTGGTGCGGGGAAGACCGGAAAAACAATGCTTAGTGGAATGGACAGATGGGGGACGGGATGACGCCACGTGGGAACCATACGACCGGCTTCACCAGTGGTTTCCGGCGTTACACCTTGAGGACAAGGTGGCTTCGCAAGAGGAAGGGAATGTTACGCATGGGTTGCATGGGTCTCGGAAGGAGAACCCCAATGAGCGGGACAGCCCGGAGGGCCGAGCCAAGGCTAAGCAGACCAAAGGGGAAAGGAATTTGGGCCGTGAGAAGATACGTGAGCCGCGGACGAGGAAAGCACCGGGATGGCACGACGATTACATTTTAAAGTAAATTAATAGTTTTAATATATTTTAATGTAATAGATTTTCTTAGGTGGACGAATTATAAGTCCCTTCAAGGGTTTTCTTTTCGGTTCTTTCCCTTGACGCCTTTTTTGAACCGACAGGGTAGACTAGGGTTAGGGTTTCAACAACTATAAATAGCGGATGTAGTCTTCTTCTTCCATGATCACATAATCAAAACCCTAATTTCCTATTGGAGTACGAAGGCACTCGAAGCCCTTCCCCACTTTTACGTATCACTCTATTTCCATGAATAAAGTGTGTCTAGTTGCCAAGGGCTACACACAAAAGCATGGTTAAAATTATTCAAAGACTTTTAGCCTAGTTGTAAATCAACAAACAATCCGGGTGGTTCTTTCATTAGCTTTCTCTCATAACTGGCCACTGCATCAGTTTGATGTCTCAAATGCCTTTCTTCATGGGGTTCTAGAAAAAATATACAAGTAGTAACCACCTGTTGGGAAAAATATTATAGATTTTGATGATGATGTATATAGATTGTAATAGGGACTCTAGGTCTCCCCCATAATTGAATGTAATATTCTTTTCATTAGAAATCTTGTTAAAACCAAGCTCTTGAGTTTTCAAATAAAACTTGTGATATTTCGTCTTGCGATTTGAACATCCATGTTTTGAAGACTTATCAAAATCAAAAGATATGGAAATCGGAACTCTCGCTCGGAGATATCAGAGACAATAAAGGAATTCTCAGTGAAGTCAATTACTTTGGAATTCTAAAATCCGGAAGAATCAAGTTCTACCCGGAAGTCTCGCAGCCATCTGTATGAAGGCTAGCAGTCCAGATATCTATGTATCGGAAGACTAGCGCGGATCACTCTATCTGACACTTTCTCACCTAGAAGTCTCAGCATGACTTGTTTGAAACTATCAGAACTAAGAGCCGGATTTCTCAAAGGACCGGACCTCTCAAACAGACAAGTGAGAAAAAGGACTTAGATAATTAATCTAAGTCTTGATTGAAGGAATTCTATCCGTTACCAAGGAAAAATCAACTCTTTGATTTTTAAACGGCTAGACTGAGGATAATTCAATTTAGTTCAAGAATAAATGACAAGAAGACAAAGTATGGACTCCCCCAATTAAAGAGCTACAGTCCAGAATTCTTGAACAAAAGCTAGAAGACAAATTCCATGACAAAGGAATCAATCTTCAACAAAAGCTTATGTCCAAGAGAAAATTTCCAAGGACAATCCTCACGAACCTTCATTCAAATTGAAGCCAGCAAACATTAGGTTAATCTATTCCCTTGAGCGGATAGATTAAACCATCCAGCCACCTATATATAGCTCCCACGGAAGATTTAAGAAATACACACAACCTACCATCAATCACAATTATTCAAGAGTGAAAAAACCTCAAAAGCTTGATAAAGAGAGAATTCAAAACTCTTTATCCAGAAGAAACTTCTCCTTCTTCCATAGAGCTATAAGTGAAAATACTAGAAGGTTTCCTTGCCTCAAGTGGGAAACCTGGGACATAAGTTTTCATACAAACTAATCTGGCAAGTCTTATTGTTAGGACCTTGCAGTTGTTGAAGAAGCTTTACCGTCGAAGGAACAACAAAGCCAACATGAGTGCTGTAGCAACATTTACTTTGCGAAGATATACCGTGCATTCACTATTGTAATTATTGGTTCATTATCAACAACCAATTACCTAGTGGATTCTAAGGACATAGAAGGATTACCCCACCTTCGAACCTCGTTAAAGTTTGCATGTCTCTCTCTCTATCTCTACTTATTTTTGTGATTATATTAACTGTGAAACTAACTGATCCATATTGATTACTCCTCCAACAATCCACCAACTTCCGCACACTTAATCTAAGTTCTCAAGAATTTAGATTAACAATTGTTTCACGTTTTCAAAAAGAAATGAAAAAAGGGGTTTTAAATTTGTAACAAAGTCTATTCACCCCCCCCCCTCTAGACTTTGTATCTCACCACTTCGGAGACCATCAATTGGTATCAGAGCAAACTTCTCACTATCTACTCTTATATTAACGAGAAACGACCACAATGGTAAACAATATGGATCACGGTTTGCCCAAGTTTTCTCTTCTAGATTATGATGACTGGAAGATCATAATGGAAGCACATCTTTATGCTCTACATGACTGCATATATATATATATATATATATATATATATATATATATATATATATATATATATATATATATATATATATATATATATTGGCCGCACTTACCAGCTTTATTAATTAAAAATGTGAATACACGTTCGGGGAGGACTAGACCGAAGCCCCGAAGGTAGGACAAAATATGACAAGACAAATCTAAAAACCAGGAAAGGATCCATTTCAATTTGCAGACTCAATTCTTGTCTCCTCTTCCGCTGAGTGTTTGGTATTAAGTCTATCCATCGGTGAGTTCCAGGTCGAATATTGATCTTGGAGATGACTTCGCTTCTATGGGGAAATTCCTTCAGTGAAATCGCAGTTGACTCCCCTCCTCTTAATCGAATGCGTGCTATGAATCCCAATCTTATCCACATGTAAGTACTTCCCACTGAGGCTGAAGATTTCAAACCCCAAGTCGTATAATTCTTGGTCTCTGATCATCCAGCTCTTTTTCCTATGTAGCCAATTCCATTGCTGAATGGTTGTTTTAATTCCTTTTAGCGCTGTAGACATAGCAGGGCTATCTTCATTGTAGATTGCTGCACTGTATATTTTCCATATGTTCCATGCTATAATACCAGGTATAACCATTCTCAAGTTACCTCTTTGTGTCTTACTATTTGCTCTAAGACCCCATTCTAGGAAATGTTGTCTCAGTGTGATACCTTCTCTTGCTCTTGGTCCTTGTAGGAGGTTAGCAAAGAAGTTCCAAATGTTGATACTGAATTCACAGTGGAGAAGGGTATGGTTAACATTTGTTTCCCATGATTTGCAGAGTGGGCATTGTGAATGCAGGTGAAAGCCAATTTTGATGTATAGCTGTGGGAAAGGTAAGATGTCATATAGGATTTTCCATTGGAATAGTTTAACACTTGGGATTTGAAGCTTGTGCCATGCCAGTTTGTAAGTCAGTTGAGAACTCCCCGATTCCCTGCATGCGTTGTATCCTTGTTTAAGTGTGAACTCTCCCCCATCCCACTGCATAACTCCATTATGCAAACCTAAGTGTTCCTCTGCTATATTTGCGACTCTACAAATTCTCTTCCAATTGGGGGAATCCACTATTTTTCCCGGAATGAATTCCTCCTAAGGTACTTGTCTCTTATGAATAAGGCCCATATACTATTGCCTGTCTGAGCCTTCCACCATATTCTTAGAGAGTAGGCCTTTTGCATATCCCTGATATTTCTCAACCCCAGACCTCCCTCTTCTTTAGGTTTGCAAATAGCTTCCCATTTTCTCCAGTGATGTTTGGCCTTACCATTCGTGTAACCCCACAAAAAATTAGCCATTACCCTATTCAGCTGATTGATAATAGATAAAGGCAGACAATGTATAGCCAAGTAGTGTAAAGGAATGGATGAAAGAACATGCTTAATGAGGATGAGTCTTCCCATAGGATTCAGCACTTTGCTATACCAGGAGGTTATATGCTTTTCAAAGTGATCTAAGAGTCCCTGACAGTGTGTTTTATTAATCTTTCCCTTGCAAATTGGAACTCCTAGATACTTAAAAGGCATTTTATCACTTTTCATCCCCATGGCTGCTTCCATTCTGGTGATCTTGCTGTTAAGGACCTTTCTCCCAACATAGAATCTAGATTTGTTGTAGTTAACCTCCTGTCCAGACCCTTCTGTGTACTCCTTTATCAAGGCTCTGAATTTTAAGAAGTTTCTAATTCCTCCTCTTAAGAAAATTATGAGGTCATCAGCATATGCTAAGTGGCTGACAAGGAAATTCCTTCTTGTGTTGAACTTGTGGATACACTTCCTTTCCATAGATGTTTTAATCATCCTCGAGAAGACTTCACTAGCAATGATAAATAGCAGTGGGGAGAGAGGGTCCCCTTGCTTGACTCCTCTCTTCATCTTGAAAAAACCAGTTGGGCAACCATTGATTAGAATTGAGATGTAAGTACCTTTTAGATTAGAGATCAATAATTCCTGCACTCTGGGTGAGAACCCAAATCTGTCTAATACCCCCTTTAAAAAACTCCACTCAATTTTGTCAAAGGCCTTTGCCATATCAAGTTTGATGATAGCATTTCCCCCTTCACAGTGTTTGTCTAATCTATGGGCCATTTCACATGCCATAAGAATTTGATCCTCCACTCCCATTCCTTTTTGAAACCCTGCTTGTTCCTTAGAGATAAGTTTAGACAGAAGAGTCTGCAGCCTAGAAGCCAAAATTCTAGTATTAATCTTGCTCATAAATGTAGAGAGAGAGATAGGCCTGTAGTCTGAGAACTGTCTGCAGTCTTCCTTTTTTGGTATAAGGGTAATGAAGGTGCTGCCATAGGCTACAGGAACTGGAACACCAATAAAGAATTCCTGAGTAGCCTTGGCAACATCATCTTTAATAATGCTCCAACATTCTCTAAAGAAGTTACCATTAAAGCCATCAGGGCCAGCTGCACTGTTAGGGTTCAAATCCCAAACTGCCTGTTTAATTTCCTCTTCATCTGGTATCCTACACATGAAATTATTGTCCTCAAGGCTAATTAAGTTAGGGATATGATCAAGGATATGACCAGGATCAATGTTCTTAGAGGCACTGAACACCTCCTAAAAATAAACCTCTGCCTCCTTTTTAATAGCCTCTACCTCCAAAGTCTTCTTTCCATTTCCATCCAAAATGCTTGTGATCTTTAGTGCGCTTCTTCTGCCTGTCACATATGAATGGAAGTAAGAAGTGCTTTGATCACCTAGTTCCATCCATTTAATGTGTGCCTTTTGCTTCCAGTATTGGGTTTCTCTATTGTTAGTTTCAATAAGCTCAGCATTTGCTTTGTTGGCTGGAGTTCTTAGTTCATCTCTTGGGTTGCCTTCAAAATCTTCCTGCGCTTTCATTGCTTTGCTTTCTGCATCCTTGACAGCCTGAAAGATGTCTCTAAATGTCTCTTTACTCCAGGCTTTAAGAATAGGTTTGAGCCCTCTTAGTTTTGTAGCAAGGCCTTTCATCTCTCCAGTCATGGGCTGATTAACCCAATATTCTTTCACCACCCTGAAGAAACAGTGGTGATTGAACCAGAAATCTTGACTTCTGAAAGGTTTGGCCCCAGTGTAGTTATCTATGGTGCATAGGAGAATTAGAGCCTTGTGATCAGAGGACGCTTTGCTGCAATGTTTGATGTTGATTTCAGTGAAGAAATTCATAGTACAAGTGTTCACTAGGGCTCTGTCAAGTCTTCTCCAGATTTTGCCCCTACTCCTTACTCCACTCCATGTGAATATGCCCCCTGAGAAGGGAGGGCTAAGGAGGGGTATGGCTTCAGTGCAATCCTTGAACTCATTCAGGTCAACAAGAGAGGGGGTTGTAGCACCTTTATGTTCATCCAAAGAGCTTATTGCATTGAAATCACCTCCAACTATCCAAAAATGGTCTTTAATGATGTTATTTATGAGATCCGACCACAATTCTCTTCTTTGGATGCCTGTATGTTTCCCATAAACTGAGGTAATGCTCCATTTTGTGTTAAGATTGCTGTCCCAGAAATGGCAAGTGTACATCTGAGTGAACTCTTGGACCTGGGTGAGAATAAGTCTGTCCCCTCTCCAGAAGACCCATAATTTGTTATTTAGAGCAGTAGCACAGTTAGAGACACCCAGACTCATCCTAACTGAATTCACCTTATGTTCTTTAGCCATTGGTTCCAAGATAGCAACAAAATCCACTCTATTAGCCTTAGTAAGAGAGATTAGTCTATTTACAGAAGAGTTAATCCCACAAACATTCCAGAAGATACAATTCATGGCAAATGGAAAAGAGTGACATCTTTGTTCCCTGTCATGCTCCTGGTGAGCATATTAGGGATATTCTGGCCCCTTTTTTTCCTTTCAACTTTAGGTACTGAGACACAAATTGAGTTAGGGGCTGGGGTGCAAATTTGCAGATCCCTCAGTTTAGATTTATCAAGGATAGTAACTTCTTCCCCCTCTGAATGGTACCCAAATTGAAATTGGGCCTCCCCTGATATTTTGTGGTTTTCCAAAGAGTCCAGTAATATGCCTAATCCAATATCTGGGCAAGAATGAAGACAGTCATCCAAAGAAGATGGGATGTGCCTAAATGAATTCCTAGGGGACCTAGGAGCAATTCTCCTCTTAGCATATGCCTTTGCTTCTGACAGGGATGGGAAGAGATCTTTTGTACTGTAGTTGTTTGTAATTTGGAGATCCTCTATAATTTCTGCAGGTGTGGGGATGGTTGTAGCAGCGATTGGCTCCATGGGTTGGTCCAGCAGGTTAAATGTATTATGACTACTAGTCTGAGCAATTGTACCTTCTTTCTGACCCACCTTTTTTTATTTTGCAGGTGTGTTGAGCTTATTTTGCTGGTTGTGCTTGTTTTCTTAAGCTTAACAATATTCCACTGGTTGGCCCCATCTTCTTTCTGTTATGCCTTCTTGCTCTTGCCGGGATTTGCCTTTCCGGTAAGGTTTTTACAACCTTCACAATTATGCCCCAATTTCTTGCAGAAAGTGCAATAATCTGGGTAACTTTCTCTCTGGCAGGGGATAATAAGATCCTTATCTCCAATCCTTACGTGCACTGAATTAGGAAAAGGTAATGAAATATCCCTTTCAATGAGAACTCTTGCTTCTGCCCCCCTATCCAAGTTAGCAGTCCTCTCGTCTAATTGGATAGGACGTCCAATAGTTGATGCAAGAGTAAATAAAGATTGAAAACTGATAAAGTGTAATGGGAGATTTTTGAAAGTATCCCAAATAGGAACCACAGGATTATCAAAAGACATATGAAGATTCTTACTCCATTTACAGACATGAAGATGAGCAGAGCCAACAAACCAGTTTTGCTTCCTAAGGAATCTGACATAGTCTGCTTCCTGCGTGAAGATGAAAAGGATGGTTTTTGCAGACACCCTTCTTATCTTGAATCCTCCATTGAAGCCACCCTTAAGAAGGAAAGCTTTTAGCCCTTGTAGATTAAGCTCTTGACTACTGCGCCCAATTACTGCAAACTTAAAATTCTCTGCTAATTTTCCTTCTTCTTCATATGTAAACGAGGCTGAGGGGATGCCCTTGTAAAATCCCTCCACCTTTCCCAGGGGAAATGATGTGGAATCAGAAAACAACTCTGAGAAAAGCTTGGGGAGTTTACGATTAGTACTAGAGATGCTGAGTGTCGGAATCTTAGCCGAAGTATTGCCGGAAATATTTCTCTCTCTAGCCATATATATATATATATATATATATATATATATATATATATATTATATATATATATATATATGTATGTGTATATATATATATATGTGTGTGTGTGTGTGTGTGTGTGTGTGTATATATATATATTGACATTCTTATTATGGATATAATAACATAAAGACTTTATTTTGATTATTTTCCTATATTATACTCTTATATTAATTTTTTTCTCACTTTCCTTTCAAAATATTAGAGGGCTAATATTTCTTTTCGCATTAATACTTTTTTAAACTAATGAGGAGAAGAAGAAATATTCAAATTTAAATTTTTTAAAATAATTTAATCATAGAGTCATAAGATCGCTAATTTAAGATTTTATTTTTTAATAATGCGGGAGACTAGAATCAATTTTTGTAATCAATGCACATCGAGTCATTGGATTACTAGCTTTTTGTATTAATATTTTTTTAAATTCATTCAGTGAGAAGATTAATAAATTTGTAAAAGTTCAGCAAACATAGATCCTTTATATTTGACGCTTAAATGATATGCCTCATAAAAAGGTCAATTTATTTTTATAATCTGTTAGCCTTGGTTTGCTAAGCCTCATGTTTTGATGTTAACAAACAATATAAGAGCTTAACGTTTGTTTAAGTGTTTCAGGAAAAACAAGAATCCATTAAGATTTGGTACTCAAGAATGAAGTCGAAACACTAAACTAGCGTAGAATATAGGTAGAAACCAATGTAAGGATATGACTTTATATACCTATATTCACAAGCTCAAAAGCACTAACGAAATATGTTTAAAACCATCCAATAAACATTTTCAAACATCTAAAAGGTTTTAAACTCAAACACGAAGGATTAAGGATATTTTGAAAAACGCAGGACTGTAGCACGCGACCCCCCTACCGTCTGCACGGGACCCCCTACCGTAAGGGGTACCGTACTAAGATAGGTACCGCCAGAGAGTTTTGGCCTGAGAAGGTACCTAGCTACCGTAAGCACGGGACCCCCCTACCGTATGGACGGGACCCCGCTACCGTATGGACGGGACCCCCCTACCGTGACCGTTAGGTCACTGTTCCTGATTTGTGATTTTGAATTAAATCAACTCTAATCACCTCCCAACGGCTAATTAACATCTTTCATTATAAATACAAGCCTAATCCTTCATATTTCTTCAAGAAACAAAGCTCTAAACATCCTCTCTTTTTATTCTAAGTGTGTTCATCCTTTTATTAATTATTTTCAATATTTTGACTATTTCAAGAGCCTTAAATTCCTGAATTTTATACACACACTTTGAGCTTGTGTTTCTAGTTATATAATCTCATATTCATAAGTTTATATTGTATTTTTGAGAGAGTATAATTTCCTTCTACACCGGCTAAGTTTTGTTTTTCATTTTTATATTCTAGCCGTTGTGTAGAATCCTCTTTTGTGTTCTTCAAACACACCTTCTTACGGTCGAGAATAGCCGTTAAATTCTAACGTTGTAACGGTTAAGGATAGCCGTATAAATCCTTGGGTAAAGGTTCAAGGATAGCCTTTGAAATCCCTGGGGGAACGGTAGAAGATAACCGTTAAATCTTCATTGTAAACGGTTCGAGATAGCCGTTGTGAAATCTCGGAGTGAATCCTATTGGCAAGGGTTGTTTTCCAAAACTAGTGCGGTGCTTTGACGGAGTTCAAGAGGCCGAGACTTAGTGGATTCGGAAATCCTTGAGGAGGAGCCCCGAGGTACTGGAGTAGGGAGTTCCCGAACCAGTATAAATTTGGTGTGCATTTTATTTACGCTTTTATTTCTGCGTTTTATATATTGCTTCCGCATTTGCCAACACCATTTTTACTTAACTCTGAAAAGTTTTTAATCGCCTTATTCACCCCCTCTCTAAGGCGTGGGCACAACGTTTAAACTGACTAACATAATCCACATCGTAGAATTGCAAACATTTTCGTTTAACTCCATTCATCACACAAATAAAAATGCTATTCATTTTATTTGCAAAAAGTCAAAAAAAATAAACATAAACTTAGAATTATAAAAAAAAAATTGAAAAAAAAAAGACTCATGACAGCTCGATAGTTCGTACGTCTCTTTTATTTATACTCCGTATATACTCCATATAAAAGTGAGAGAAGAAATGAATTCATCCTCCCTCCCTCTTTTCTTCTCCTTTCCAGCCTGTCTGTCTCTTCAATCAATTTGGTTTGAGGAAATTGCCATCTTGATTTGATGCTGATTTCCACAAACCTTCTTGTCTCCTTCCTCAACCTTTCCTTCATTGAATTCTTTATGATTTTTTTTGGTCCTCCAATTCAATCCACCACCGCCACAACTTTCCCTTTAAAACTCACCCATTCGTCTTCTCTCTCGTAAACTCATATCTTTGATCTTTCCTTGTTTTCTTCAATCAATTCTGCACAAGTCTGTTTCATTTACGACGAGCTCATTTTGTCCAGATCAGATCTATGGCGGAAGAGCACGGATTCCGAGCATCGGAAGGGCACAAATGCTACCGGGACCTCATCCTCGAACAGGGGCGGACGAAGGGCGCGGATCTGGTGGATTCGACGCCGCCGGGGCAGGGTTCTCAGCCGGCCGCCTTGTCGTCACCGGCACGCCATGCGAGGATCGCGGCGGTCGCGGCGGAGGTGCAGCTGCCGGCGAATCGGTGCTCGGCCTGCCGGAAGAAGGTGGGGCTGACTGGGTTTAGGTGCAGGTGTGGGGTCACCTTCTGCGGGACCCACAGGTACCCGGAGATGCACGGCTGCGCGTTCAATTATAAGGACGCCGGAAGAGAAGCCATCGCAAAGGCCAATCCTCCGATCAAAGCGCTCAAGCTGGAGAAGATATGATGGTCGTCGGTGCAAAACTCCTTTGGCTTCGGTCAAATTCACCGCGCGCCAAAAAGTCAAAAGAGATACCGAGTCATCTAAAATGCCACATCAAAGTTGCGTAGAGCGCAAAACTCCTTTGGCTTTGTCTCCCCATCTTTCTATGCAAAAGTGCACTCCAAGTCCAACCCCCAAAATAAAATACACATTTACGTAGACCATTATTTATAGGTGTTGCTAAATCCACTCTCAATATGGCTATATCCATTCCTTTTACTTATATTTGTTAAATCTACCCTCATTAATATAAATTTAATACTCCCTCCGTCCTAAAATTAACTTCCCATTTGACTTTTCACGGTCTCCAATGCGACACTTTGACTATCAATATCTCAATTTTTATATAAATATATTTTATAAAAATTATATATTTCAAAACTATGTTTCAAAATGAATCTATTTCTAATAAATTTATATGAAAATTCAATTTATTTTTTTCATAATATACAGTCAAAGTTTAAAAAGTTTGACCACAAAAGTCAAACCGAGAAGTTAATTTTAGGACGAAAGGAGTATTAGTGTGGATATAGAAAATTTATGTAAACGAGGTGGATATAGCCATTTTTAAGGTGGATTTAGTAACACCCTTATTTATAGATTTCAATGAGAAAGTACTTCCAGGATTATAGGTCACCGGGGGCGGGGGCATCGTACTACATAACTTTTTTTTTTACGTGCAATGTAAAATGACAAAGAATGAAAAAAATATTTCCAAAGTAATAATTTTTTATAACAATTATTTTAGACTGCATTGTTTGTTTCGTATGTTGAAGGAATTCATTATTTTAAAAACTTCTCTATATTTCTAAAAATTAAAAATGCAATAAATTATTTTAGTAATTTTTAAACCAAAAACTGAGAGCCTATGTATTAGGGTGTGGATCAATTTGTACCGAATTCAATTATAGTGTTTTTAGTTACCCCTTCGTTCCTAAATAGATTTCAAATCGAGGGTTACGAAAAAAAATTTCCTACTTTTTGAAATCATTTTATTTACAAATTGGTATATCAATAAGATATAAAAATTAGATATTAAAATACTACGTCAAAAGTTCTACAAAACAAGAGGTGAAAAAAAATTTTATTTTATCAAATACATAATGAAATTGCGTAAACAAACAAAAATTATCGAGATGAGAGAGAAAAAAATTGTAATCTATTTAGGGACGGAGGGAGCATTATATTCTCTTATATCTCACACTTAACACAGTTATACAACAATTTATATTAATGCTATGTTTTTATAAAAATAATATAATGCATTCAATAAAATAAAAAATCATATTTCATACTTCTTTTGTCTCAAGAATTGTCACAGTTTGATTTTTATAGTCAAATTACGACAGACTTTGACCATAAATTAAATATAATTTTAAAATATATAAATGTTATAAAAGCTTGATATATCAAATTATTATATTTTAAAATAAACTTAATTTCACATTATAATCTGTCATTTGTGTTCAAAATATTACACTGTTTGACCTAAAAATCAAATTGTGAATTTTTTTTGGGACAGAAAGTACAAAAATAGAACAAAGTCAGAACATAACTGTATGAGAAAAGACTAAAGTAGGAGTAAAACATTTAAAATATACAAAAATAGCAGTTTCATATTTTTATTCTTAAAAGAGGATTAAAATGCATTTACATTACAAATCATAATCATGTATATACATTACCAAAAGTATAGTAAAATGCCCATATACAAGGCCACATTACCACATTGCGAATTCGTATTTTTTATTTTGAATTCTTTTTTCCTCTTACTCTATTATAATTATTATTATTTTTTATTAATTACTATTATTATTATACTCGATTAGTTTTACTACTCTTTTTAAATAAAAATAAAAGTAATTATTATTTTGAAAAATAACACTTATTTTGAAAACCACTTATTATTAATACAATTATTCATTAAAAGCATCATTGATTATTTATTTCTTATTATTTATTTTTTCTTCTATTGTTTTGATTTATTATTACTAAAAATTAATTAGTAGTTTATTACTCTATTTTTTAAGAAAAATAATTATAATCATTATTTAGAAAAATAGAGATTATTATTTAAAATAACACTTAATATTGTCATTATTAGAAAAATTATTAGTACTTTTACTGCTCTAATTTTTTGTGAGAGAAGGACTAAAATAGGAGTAAAAGTTATGTTATATTCTCAAATAGGAGCTAAAACTTAAACTCCTCTAAATATGAGTAATTGATTAATTTTTGTTCTCAATTCTCTCTTCTCACGCTGTCTTCTCCCTTCCTTTGTTTTATTTCTTTTCTTGCATGCGTGTGTATTTACATGCTGAATACTACAATGAATGCTACAATAATTATGCATAAAATACATGGTCTAACAATTTGGAAATTGATTATTTATTATTATTATATTATAAATTTTTTATATTTATTTATTGAAATATAACATCTATTTTGCTCATAACTTTTTACACCAAAGTCTAAACGACGTAACAAACTTTATGCTATTAGTCACCTTTGTACGAGATCAACCTAATTACCTATTTTTTGAAATAAAAGGTTGTCTTTACAAATAATTTATATTTTTGAGTCAGAAAATAAAATAGGACATTATATTTATTTTTTATCAAAATAACGGCTAACTACTAAGCCGCCTAATTTTTTACCCAAAGTTAAAATATTGTCAATAAATGATTCTTTTAACTACATTGTCAAGGGACGACAACAAAATCACATCCAGAGCTCAATACCATAGACAAATACGGCTATTTCTACCTTGCTCCTGAATATTTATATGTGTATCCTAATTCACAACTCAAATATTCTGATTTGATGATTTGACATTTATAGGAAGAAAAAAAAAACTTGATAAACATCACCTTTAAGTGTTGCCTCAGGCCCATAGAGTGTCAAACAAGACCACATATTTAATTCCAAAATTCTTAATCAATAAATCTATGAGACTTGATTAATACCTTGTAGATATATGTCAAAATTCTTAAGCAATAAATAGAAACTCAGTAAATTACTACAGTAAAATGTTTATACAGTGTTAAACAAGATTACATTTAACGCCACAAGTAACCGCATAATGACAATCATGTCATTGTATAAAGTCATACATGCAAATGCATAATGCTAAACCAAGAGATAATGCCAAATATGAGAATATATAGTGCCACATTTGGAAATGTATAATGACAGAAATGCCAATGTATAATTTTACATATAACACATATGTTAATGCATAATCTCAAAAAAGTTAAACATCAAGAAACTCTATTTTCCAACACAATAATAATTTAGTTTCAATATATGTTTTACAAAATAATTTTCTAAGAAGTAAAATTAGATTTAAAATCAAATGTCACAACCCATGTGAAATTGAATATAAAATTGATTAAAAGTTTCAAACTCACGCAAAGATAAAATAATTAGTACCAATTTTACAAAATAATTCACACAAAAGTAAATTTTTAGTTTTAAAATTGAATTTAACTACTTATGTAAAATTAAATATCAAATTGAATTCAAACTTACCCAAGGGAACGAAGGCATCCGAGCAATGAAAAATAGAAATGGTGGAGAGGGGTGGAAGGAGATTGTGTGTATGAGAGGAAAGAAGATGATGGAGAATGCGGTGGAATCATTACCGCATAGAGGATATGGTAGCAGTGGAGAGGGGATTGAGATTAAGTTGACAACGTCAGCAACTGAAATTAAAACGAAGGAGATCATAAAAGGATGGGTTTGGGAAAGGGTGGGTGACTTTTTTGACCGCATAGGGCTGGGATGTGGTGTGGTTAGTGCGGAAGAGTAAATCAAAACAAAATTTAATTAATTACTCCTATTTAAAGGAGTTTAAGTTTAAACTCCTATTTTGAGGATATGATATGTTAGAATATAAAAAACTGTGCATGGGCCAAGCTTGTGGTTGAGTTGGTTCCTTGACTAAGAGGTCACGAGTTCGAAACTCAATGCCATCCAGTTTAAAAAAATTAAGGTTTCACGTGCAAGGCTTGAAAAAGACTATGCCTGCACGTGAGGGAGCATGTTAGAATATAAAAAACTGTTCATGGGCCACAACCACAAGCAAGCTTGTGGTTGAGTTGGTTCCTTGACATGATATATGTTTTACTCCTATTTAGGGGGTTTTCTTGTTGTCTTTTGCATTAATAACACAGTAGTCACCGGTAGCCGCCATTGGTAGTGAGGAATCTAGAAAATGGGAGAAGTTGGGACAAGAATAAGACGGATAAGTGATTCTGCAAATTTTTAAAGATAATATGAAACAATAAAAGTGGTATTAAATTTCATTTATTTTTATTATGAACTACAAGGCATAATATATAACTAAGTGAATAAATAATCTTAATTTTATAAAATATACATAAATATATCATACTAAAATTGAATAGCGATCATATGTATATACATTTCTTAAATAATTGAAAGATAACGAAGAAGTTGGAAAACATTGAAAAGAGCTAAATATAATAAAATTCTTTTTGCATCAATATCTATTACAAATTAATGTTTGTTAAATTTTATGAATTTTATTTATTGAATGGTCAAGGTTAATTAATTTTTACAGAAAAAATTAAAAACTAGACATATACCTAAAGACAGAGGCAGTACATAAAAATGAAGTTTCATTTTGCCTTTACGGAAATTAAAGCCCAAGTGTTGTAAAATGATTGTTCATTATTATACTGTAAAACTAAAAAAAAGTTTGTGATTGAAAATTATTTACTCCATTTATCTTATTCTAGTATCTTCTAACAACGAAATAGAATTAATTTCAAATTTTTTCTAACTCCATCTTGTTTTTTTCAAACTCTTTCCAGTTTCTTATAACTTAATTATCTTATTAAATAAGTTTTAAAATACTATTTAAAAAATTAATGTGTCATACAATTTTTATTTAATTATAAATACAAATATATTCCGTCTGGCTGAAAAAGGTCAAAACTAAACAAATATTTTGAGGATACCAAATTTGAGTCAAACATAAATTCAAAGTGGAACCCCAAGGAGTACTATATCTTTCAATTTTTTGATGGATAAAAGGAAAGATTGGGAATATTGGAGTTAGTTATTTATTGTGAAATTTGCACTAAATAGGACTAAAACATAATAACTTTCCTAATGTAGGACTTAAACTTTTTTATTTCCTAAATAGGACTTAATAATGACCTAGTGGAAGGAATAATGTCCAACAATGATGGACATTTACTTGAATAATGACTACTTGATAATGACCAAAGGTCCTACATTAGGAAATAAAAACATATGTTCCTATATTGGGAAAGTCATTATGTTTTAGTCCTATTTAGGTAAATTTCTCTTATTTATTCTGTTTTTGGAGATAAGCTTCAACAATAGATCAAAACCGCAAAAAAAAAAAAAAAAGAAAAAGAAAAAGAAGAGTAGTGATAACATGATAGTATATCCCATCTATCCTAAAAAAAGTTTCAGTTTGAGTTGAAAAAAAATTGAGAAAAATAAAAATATATTATTGAAAGTAGGATTGTTCAAGTTTAGATCCGAATCAAAAAAACTGATTGAATTAGACCATTAAGTCCAAACTCAACCCGGACCGAATAGATTTTGGAATAGTCGTCGCTCCAAAAAATTAAGGCATTTGAGTTTCAATCCAATTCACTCCAAATCTGAAA